TCCTCAATTTTTGTCATGAGTGTGGTTGCTTCTTTATTTGGAACGAGAAAGCAATCACCAGTGTCTCAGCATATTTCACAAAATTAGCCACTGTTGTAAAAGAACCCTTCTAGTGTTGCTTTTTCGCCTTGTGAAAAGCATTTCATTGATTTCACAATTTTTCCAGGACCACCTATTTGCCTGTTAGTTGTCTCAACAAATGTAGAAAACACACCTCCCTCATAAAACTGTTCCAGTCTATAGTTATTTTATTTCAAATGTTCAGATTCTTTTGACACCATTTAATAGGCATAAATTCTTCCATACAATAAATAAATTGAAATGGTATCACTGTTAAAAATGGTATCCTTGAACCACTAAACCAATTATTGGAATAAAGACTTATTAGGTCACAGCTACTAATAGTGCATCTCTAAATTCCATATTTAACATCATTTCATGGCCATTTTTGCATAATAGAACACTAAAATACCTCTCTTGAAAAAACAACGTATAGTAGATTCTTCCTCTGTGCCTGGTAAATCATATAATGTAGACATCTTTCTTTCAGACAAAGTTTTGGAAATAACAAAACAGACAGTCAATAACATGTTTAATGTAGGTTAGCTGGCTGTTTCAAAGGGATACAGGTACAGTCGACCCCCCTATTACACGGTTGATAATTCCTTTTATATGAGTCACTTAGATTTTACAAATGTGAGCCGTTCACAGCCCGGCACACATATTTGTAAAATCTAAGTAACTCATACAACATGGAATTCATATAAAACAGAATTATCAACAGTGTTATAGGGAGGTCGACTGTACTAGTTTAGATGTTGATCACCAGGGCGACACCACCATCTGGTATTGCCGCCCGTACATTCACAAGTACCAAAATGTTCAGTTAGTAGTATATATAATAAAATTAAATTAGTTATAATATTTAAATTTTTAAAAATATTTAAAAACTTACCAAAGTAACAACCATCTGTTCTTTGTTAAAATGAGTAATTGAGATCATTTCATTGATTGTTTTTTGGTCCTAAAAAACAGAAGTTCTATTAAATTTAACTGTCAAAAAAATTTTGTTAATCTCAAAAGTATATTTTCATGATCAGATAAATATAAAAGTCTACAAAAAATATCTTCAGCAGACCGTCATGAATTTATCATCATTTGATGTAATGAATATAAAAATTTTCTGACAGACAATTTATTCCTTCGTCCTCATTAGGGTCCATTTACACACAACAGTGATATGCCGGCACAGTGACGAGTATTTACATACAACAGTGACATGACCTTGCTGTCATGTCACTGTTGTGAGTGGTCATGGACTTTTGAGGATGAATTGGCTATGATAGCTATATGTTTGGATGAAGAAAAAGAAATTTGATCAAGAAAGCACTGCAAGTGGGTACATCAAGCATAGACAAAAAAATATCAACAGAATGGGAGTTTCATACTCTATAAAAAAATTGAGATATCAAATCTAAATTTTTTGAATATTTTCAAATGTCCCAACATGCATTTCATATTTTATTAAACAAAACAGAAAATATTCATTTTGTACCCAATGTCCATGTATTTTGAATGAGATAAATCAAATATAACAAGATGGACCATTGATGCACCATTTCAATTAAATGTTCATTTATCCATTGGAAAACAAAATTTAGTCAGTGAAAATATCATTCCTGTCAATACAGTCATGCCACTGACGCTGCACAGCACCGACAAATCTACTCAAGTGTTTAAACTGAGTTAAAAGGTGAAATGATAGAAATAACTGTCCACCTGAAGCAACCTAAGAAAAATATTTCAGATAAGGCTGATTCAGATAAGGATTCATATCTTCAATTTTAAAAACACCCATTTAGTTATATTTTTGGACAACTCAAATTTTAATTTTCTTTCAGACATGTTAAGTTTTACTTCACTACTGTAAGTTGTTTTATCCTCAATATTAAAACACCTGTCTTTTTAGGTAAGAGATTAGTCGTCTAAATACCAATCTGCCATATTTAGCCTGGTTATTTCTTTTAATTACTGTATACTCTACGTTGCATTATCTATTTTATTTGCAAATAGAAAAATATTAACAAAAAAAGGTAGACAAGCATATTTAGGATATTTGGCTGAAGCTATTATTTTTTGAGAGAGGGAAAGCTGCATTGTTGATATCAACTTATAAATAAAAAAAATTGTTAGAGGTTGAAGTTACATACAAAAAATAATATACTAATTCTTTGAGTATCATTTTTAAACACTGTTTACTATTCAAATTTTTCATGAATTATAGAAATAGTGAAAGAAATGGCAAAACTAGATCGAGGCACCTCTAGCGGCGATGCCGGGTAACAGAATCGGGGCTACAAAGACAGCACCAGTGTTGTTCCACCCAGGCCTAGTACTATTCTACTAATCTAGTACCTTTTTACTTGTTCCAGTACCAAGATACCCAATACCATTTTCCTAGTACTATTCATGAAATCCTAATACTTTTCTTTTCAATTTAGCACCTTTCAAAACATTATTCTATATTTCTATATTTTATTTTACTTTACTTTGGCAGTAAATAGATGTTTTTATTGCTTCCTCATTCAAGTGCAGCAGTTGAACGTAATTTTTTGCAATTAAATTTAAAAACTAAACTACAAAATCGAGTTCTTACTGATTCCTGTGAAGCACTGTTATTAGCAAAGGAGCTACTTAAAAGCAACAACAATAAAATGTTACAGTTGGAAACCATCATCTGCTTCAACCATACAAAAACATTCTAGTGAGGAAGATTCTGATGATGATGATCTTACCAGTGATTTTTCAATGTGATAATTTTAAAGTTTAGTACTTCATGTTCATNAAAACTTTACATTAGGCTTAACATCAACGAAAATTCAACGCGAAGTGACACTCAATGGAGAAAATTTTCAACATGGGATAGGTTACTTTCTTGTACATAATCGGTTATCCAAACAACCCGTCCCCAATTGATTCGGATAGACGACACTCTACTGTACATCGTGTGGAATAGTATCAGCACTGTACATATGTTAAAATAATATCCCATTTAGTTTTATGCAGATGAATCAATATATTGGAAGAGGTTTCTTCCTTGATAGAGAAGATACATTTTGGCACAAGTATATCAAAGATTGGCTCTAACTTTAAGGTAAATAGCCTGTTTGTTGTTATTTAGTCTGATATTTGCAAACATTTAGAATAGTCACAAAGTATCTGTGTAATGCCTGTAATAGAATAAAAATTATAAATTTAAAGCAGTTAATTGATGATTTCTAGTACAGACTTTGCATTTAGGAGATATAGTTAAGAGTGCTTTTGGTACACTGGCAGCACAATCTCATATCTAATGGAGATGGAGCTGTACAGTACATTGGCAGAAAACTAAACAATTCCACTTTAGGATTTCAGTGTAGTACTGTGTATCAAACTTGCTTACTATTCAATCCAAATTCCATCCATATAATGTGCTTCAATGACATCTTTAAACTACACTTTTTGTTGTACAGACATCTGTACTTTATGACAGAAGTATGGAACAAAACAGAAGTTAAATAATTTTTAAAGCTTAACTTACTGTCTGTCCAGGTGAAAAGTTGCAATTCATCTACTTCCCAATTTCTGATCTAGTTGAAACTTTACATGTGTGTATTGCCAACAGTAAATTTTTTAATAGTTTTCAATAGTTCAGTGTTACATATAGCCGTGGTCCGCAGAACACAAGTGCTCCACGAAAAAATCAAACAAAAATTGTTGCAAAAGAAAAATTGATACAATGTAAAATTTTTGTATGGGAATTTAATCAGCAAATGCCAATGTCATATACTAGACAGAGTGTACTCTTGATTTCAAAAATTTTTGCCACCCCTGCTCTAAAGCTGATGTTTTGTAAGTGTTAGCAATAAAAATGTCAAAGTTTAGTGTTCCCTGACTTTAAAACGATTGAGAACCACGGAGATAGTATAATTAAAAAGTAGAAAATAAATATATTAAGCTTTTTATTCCGATAAATGTAGTAAAAAGTAAATCCAATGTCAGGTTCTCTTGTTGGCAACAATTTACAGTGGCGGCCAAAGCAAAAGTATATACAGTAGAGCGTCAATTATCCGAAAGAATTCCAGTTGGCAAATTTAAATTTTTGCCAGTGCTGTGGCACTGGCTAAAATTGGCTGTCTTGTGCTACTCAAATATTTTGTGTTTTTGATACAGTAGAGCCTCAAAAACTCGGCCACACCCTGGCAGGGCAAAAAAATCCTTAATTTTCATTACAGCTTTATGCCTCAAAGTATTTTTCTGAGGTCTGTCTTATCAGGTAAATTACTGTACACAGTGTATTTGTTAATTTTCATTTTCATGTAGTAAAGGCTCTATGCCTTCATAAAAGACGTACTTTTCCTTTGTTTAAGGGTATTTGGGCAGTTTATTCTCTGTTGTATTCTCAAGTAAACAATACATACAAGTACAGTACAGTATTTTCTGAGGAAACACTCACTTATTTTTTTAACCCCATTCCCGATAACCTGGCATTTTCACAAACTCGGCCACCCTTCGGTCCACATTAGGCCGAGTTTTTGAGGCTCTACTGTACTAAATTAACTTCTGAAGTATAATTTTTTATTGTTTTTATATTTTTCAATATATTTATTTTGTTTGTACAAAATAAAAAAATAATTTTTAATGATACAATAGTCTTCATTAGGCTTAACAGACGAAAATTCAATGCGATGCGACACGCAACAGAGAAAAATGTCAACATGGGATAGGTTAATATATTTTTTCACACAGTTATCTATATATATTTAATTTTTATACCATTTATTTGCATTGTAAAATGTTCTATTGATTTAGAACATCCTTCCCATTCTTATTGAGAATTACATCATGGAATCATAAGTTTCTCTAACATTAGTTTATGATAAACACTAAACTGAATACTGATGTTGATCAAACTTTTATTTTGAAGTTTTACTAAAAGAAATAAAAACATTGATTCACTATTACTGATTAAATGTCATGACTGACTTTATTGTTTGAAATTTAATTCAAATAACATAATTGAAGTTTCTGTATAATTTATTTGTATCACCTAAGAATTGGCATTTATTAATATAAAACTGAAAATAAACTTTGATGCATTAATTTAATCTGTGGAGATGCAAAACAAAATTGTTGGCAATATAAAAACCAATTCCAACAGGTTGTATTTCAGAATTTTATTTTCCAATATCTGTTGTAGATGGTGATGTTGAAACTGGAATAGGGATGGTAGTTCACATTAGAGCTGTATTTAGTTCCTGTAAAAAGAAAAATCTATTACAATATATTAAAAAATAAGAATTAGATTATTATTATTATTGTTACATTTTCAGAATTAGCACTTATATAATCATAGGTTTTCATTGCCCAATGCTCACAATATCATCATTGAAAAACTCAAAATAGTACAGTATAACAAAGAAATATTAGTCATTGAAAATTGTTTGTTTCTAATGCATGAAAACTAATCATGCTATATACTTCCAAAAGTTATTTTCAAAAATTCAATTTGGATTCTGCTCTCAAGGGGAAGTCATGAATGTATTTAAATAAAATTGAGCTCAAATAGACGCTGACAAATTTGAAAAGTACAGGTCTATTAGATCTATAAAACAGCACAAGCTATTTAATTTGCTATGAAAATACATTTTTGCATTTTTACATGACACATGCAAAGATGCTAAAATGACATGTGTTCTCAACTGTTGCCAGTTGTGTTTGAATCTCCCCTTTGACACAAAGACAACTTGGGTTAGAACTTACTACTTCCCCCATTTCACACATTACAATGCACTAAAATGTTTGAAACAATTTATAACAACTCTCATTAATAAAATGCCTTTTATCTATTTTTCCCTGCACATATATTGCCATTTAAAAAAGAATAGCCAGTTGTGGCTAATAATCTAGCATTTATCAGTCTATCATATTAAAACCCTAATTATTAACAAGGTGGAATGGTTAGTCCTTTTTAAAATTACTTAAAATACATAAAATCGTGTGACAATTCTTCTATTTTTTTAAAATGCAATTTTTACATTAACAAGAACGTTTATGAAATTAATTATCTAACAAATTTACATTACACACACAAATGTATAAATTCAATATAGTCAAAACATATTAATTAAAATGTCACAATGTCCTTGACTTATTATAATATAAATTTTCATCTACAAGTATTTTCTATTATCAGGACTTATTATACTGGCTTTACAGATAATGCTACAGAGTTTCACAGATCAAAAATTGTTTTATTTAATATACATGTATATGAAATAAAACAAAAATTTTTGATCCTGATAATAGAAAATACATACTTGTAAACAAAAATTTATATTATAATAGTCAAAACATATGTTCAATAAATTCAAATATAATGATAAAATACTTTATCATCCTCATAATCATATATCACTCAATGTCAAATAAAATAATTGAAGATATATTAATTTTTAATAATGTTTCTCAAAACATTCAAGTTAATAAAATAAAAGTATTTCTTGAAAGAACATTATTAAAAGTAATTAAAAACTTAAATCTTGATATTCATTTGAAGACTCAAAACGCTAGTCAAAATATTTTTTCAAAAAGATAATTGTCTTAAGGATCAAGCATTTAGTCAAAACAAAACTTACATTTTAGTAATTGCTTTTTACTGTTCCTTCCACTGCTGACATTGATGAGGATACTGTTATAAGACTTGCTTTCAATTAAAAACTGTAAACATAAATTAAGTTTTGAAAGAAGTTTTTTTTTAAAATATAAAATCAACATTTTAAAAATATAAATTAAGAAATAAAAGAGACTTACTTCTCAAGACAAGCTTCCTTCCTTCCTGGGATATGTGCATCAGTGTTTTTTATTATTTCCTATTTCCTCCATTACACTTTCTATGTTTTCATTATCCTTAGGGTACACAAGTATTACTTTGTCATTGGATGGACAAGATGGTCTTTTTAAAACTTCAGCATATGTTGATTTCTTATGTTGTGAAGTCATGTGGCCCATGCAAGCCAAAGTCCTGGCTTCTGCCACCTGGTTTTGTAGTTCCTGATTTTTATTAGCAAGTTTAATTAGAGATTGTTTCATCTGTTGAAATAGATACATTGCCTCATCTAGCTCATAATAAATTTTATCCTTGAGGGTTTTACTGAAGTTCCTGGACTGATTCAGGGATGCTTTAGCCCCTTGTATTCTTAAATACTTGTTCGAGGGTTTCTATAGACATATTCATCCATTCTGGAGGGAAAAATAAAACTTAAAAAATGTGTTCACTAGGCAAAGTTCATTATATAAATTATTTTTTCAAAGATATCGTCTATAAAATTTATCATGATTAATTAATCACTCAAGACTGTACAATTGATAATGAAGAAATTAAAACAGAGTAATGAAAAAATATGAATAATTTTTAATTCCGTGAAACAAATTCATTACAGAAAAAGTAAAGCTGAAAATAGTTTTTGAATGGGGTTTTTTTTTTCTGTATTTTTGAAATATGTAACTGAAATTATTTGAAAAATTACACACACATTCAATCAACCCATGAACTTTATAATGAAACTCCAGTAGAGTTCAAAGGATTGCAGCTCTACATTGTAAGGCTTATAGGGCTGAACCCATTAGTGCCCTTTTGATAATGTCAGGATTGATCCCTATCAATTTAGAAATTAAACACATTATTTGACAGAAAAATCGCGTCACCTTACCCTGGTGAGATTTTAGTGACTCTGATGTTGACAAAATGATTAGAGTAGGTAAGATTCCCCCAGTTTGACCTTCATCAATGATATCAAGAAATTCAGCATCGACAAAAATACTCTTCCACTCCTCCCACCAGCTTGCCCCTGACGTTTACTTTAAAGATCCAGGTGATCACCTCATGTTTAGGATTTACACTGACAGTTCCAAGATGGGTGACGATGTGGGTGCTGTTTTTGTAGTTTACTCAGACTTAAACCATGAGCTTCACAACACTTGCTTCCATCTAGGTCAGTGTTTCTCAACAGGGGTGATATTGCCCCCATCTGGGCATTTTTCCATGTCGAAGGGGCAATTAGTAACAATTTATATTTCGGGGGGCAAAAAACAATTTTTTGGGCGATATAGTAAAACATTATAGTAAGAATAATTAGATATTTTATTTGTTATATCGTACAATAATTAAACAAATAACATTATACTAGTCACTAATCAATGCAGTGCAAATTTGGGGTTAGCCTTGGCCCTCCGCATTGGAATTTTGAAGTGAAGGGGGCAATACTACGTAACGGTTTTATTGAAGGGGGTGACGATTCGTTAGAGATTGAGAAACACTGATCTAGGTACACACTGCTTAATAGCATAAGCAGAAACTTTAAATATTTATATGAGCTTAATTCACATTAGGCATAGGAAGGACAAAAGACACTACTTACACTATCATATTTATTCTGACAGTAGAGTAGCTTTCAAATTTTAAAATGTTCCTTTCCTCACATTCCATTTTAATTAAAACACACTATCCTGAAGATGATCTTCTATATAAATCGAAAATGTTCATATTTTATCTGCATTAAACTATACTGGAATTTCATTTATAAGCTTCATAGGTTTTTCTGACATACTTTATTCCAGTCTTAGTGTTTGAAATATATTCAATTACTATCTAAAGTAATAAAATTATCAAATTATAAATATTTAAAGCTCACCAAAGTAACATATAGCCATCTTAATTCTTTTTATGGTTCAATTTCTTCAAACAGATGCTCATACTGGTTACTATTATGCACTAATGCAGCACTTATATCCTTTCAATTGAAGTGATTAGCATTTGATTGGTGCTTTTTATCCTAAGGAAAAAAAAGTTCTATTAAATGTTATATAAATGTTTTTTAATCTCAAAAGTATATCATCATCATCAGATAAAATGAAGGAATCTACAAAAATCTTCAGCAGACCGTCATGAATATATCATCATTTGCTTTAATGTAAAAATTGATATAGTCTAAAATTTATTCCTCTATTTTATGGAATAGTTTTTGAACATATTATAAATTAAATATAAAGAACAAATTTAATCAAATGTGGATTATTTTTATTTACTTGATAAAGGTATAAATGAAAATTTTTCAATTTAATAAAATCCTTTATTAAAAAAATATATATGTTCTGAAAGATTCATTTTATTGAATACAGTGGAACCTCCATTAAAAAAAACATTGGTACTTGTGAATCTTTGTCCCAGATGGTGGCACTGCCCTGACAACCAACATCCCAATCTCAACTAGTACCTGTACCCCAAAAAACAAATTGACTCAGCTGTCTAACCTACATTAAACACACACATACTCAATTTGTTTATTTATTTCAATGCTGTTAAGATTATTGCAAAGTTTTAATTAAGAAAGTTAGCAAACAAATTAGTTTAAATTATCATTTATTTTAAAGTATCATTACACGTTTACCATTTACATGATTTCATATTACTGGCATATAGTTTGCAGCTGCCATATTTCTGCAAATGCTTTTAATATGCTTTCAAAAGATTTTCTTACCCCAAGGACTTCTTCCACATGAACTCCGCAAGGTAAGATTCCAGATGATGGCAAGCCATGCCTCATTGTTTTTTACTGCACCGCTTAGCAGAGCCTGTCTTTCAATATTTTGAGTGTGAGCACCTGCTGTTGGATAGACAAAATTAATGATTCACAGTAAGAAAGACTGTAACCTGTTCTTTCCAGTTCATCAGTCTTGTAGGCTCACCAAGTCAGAATATATTGTTGATCTCTCTTCAACTTGCTCCTCAATTTTTGTCATGAGTGTGGTTGCTTCTTTATTTGGAACGAGAAAGCAATCACCAGTGTCTCAGCATATTTCACAAAATTAGCCACTGTTGTAAAAGAACCCTTCTAGTGTTGCTTTTTCGCCTTGTGAAAAGCATTTCATTGATTTCACAATTTTTCCAGGACCACCTATTTGCCTGTTAGTTGTCTCAACAAATGTAGAAAACACACCTCCCTCATAAAACTGTTCCAGTCTATAGTTATTTTATTTCAAATGTTCAGATTCTTTTGACACCATTTAATAGGCATAAATTCTTCCATACAATAAATAAATTGAAATGGTATCACTGTTAAAAATGGTATCCTTGAACCACTAAACCAATTATTGGAATAAAGACTTATTAGGTCACAGCTACTAATAGTGCATCTCTAAATTCCATATTTAACATCATTTCATGGCCATTTTTGCATAATAGAACACTAAAATACCTCTCTTGAAAAAACAACGTATAGTAGATTCTTCCTCTGTGCCTGGTAAATCATATAATGTAGACATCTTTCTTTCAGACAAAGTTTTGGAAATAACAAAACAGACAGTCAATAACATGTTTAATGTAGGTTAGCTGGCTGTTTCAAAGGGATACAGGTACAGTCGACCCCCCTATTACACGGTTGATAATTCCTTTTATATGAGTCACTTAGATTTTACAAATGTGAGCCGTTCACAGCCCGGCACACATATTTGTAAAATCTAAGTAACTCATACAACATGGAATTCATATAAAACAGAATTATCAACAGTGTTATAGGGAGGTCGACTGTACTAGTTTAGATGTTGATCACCAGGGCGACACCACCATCTGGTATTGCCGCCCGTACATTCACAAGTACCAAAATGTTCAGTTAGTAGTATATATAATAAAATTAAATTAGTTATAATATTTAAATTTTTAAAAATATTTAAAAACTTACCAAAGTAACAACCATCTGTTCTTTGTTAAAATGAGTAATTGAGATCATTTCATTGATTGTTTTTTGGTCCTAAAAAACAGAAGTTCTATTAAATTTAACTGTCAAAAAAATTTTGTTAATCTCAAAAGTATATTTTCATGATCAGATAAATATAAAAGTCTACAAAAAATATCTTCAGCAGACCGTCATGAATTTATCATCATTTGATGTAATGAATATAAAAATTTTCTGACAGACAATTTATTCCTTCGTCCTCATTAGGGTCCATTTACACACAACAGTGATATGCCGGCACAGTGACGAGTATTTACATACAACAGTGACATGACCTTGCTGTCATGTCACTGTTGTGAGTGGTCATGGACTTTTGAGGATGAATTGGCTATGATAGCTATATGTTTGGATGAAGAAAAAGAAATTTGATCAAGAAAGCACTGCAAGTGGGTACATCAAGCATAGACAAAAAAATATCAACAGAATGGGAGTTTCATACTCTATAAAAAAATTGAGATATCAAATCTAAATTTTTTGAATATTTTCAAATGTCCCAACATGCATTTCATATTTTATTAAACAAAACAGAAAATATTCATTTTGTACCCAATGTCCATGTATTTTGAATGAGATAAATCAAATATAACAAGATGGACCATTGATGCACCATTTCAATTAAATGTTCATTTATCCATTGGAAAACAAAATTTAGTCAGTGAAAATATCATTCCTGTCAATACAGTCATGCCACTGACGCTGCACAGCACCGACAAATCTACTCAAGTGTTTAAACTGAGTTAAAAGGTGAAATGATAGAAATAACTGTCCACCTGAAGCAACCTAAGAAAAATATTTCAGATAAGGCTGATTCAGATAAGGATTCATATCTTCAATTTTAAAAACACCCATTTAGTTATATTTTTGGACAACTCAAATTTTAATTTTCTTTCAGACATGTTAAGTTTTACTTCACTACTGTAAGTTGTTTTATCCTCAATATTAAAACACCTGTCTTTTTAGGTAAGAGATTAGTCGTCTAAATACCAATCTGCCATATTTAGCCTGGTTATTTCTTTTAATTACTGTATACTCTACGTTGCATTATCTATTTTATTTGCAAATAGAAAAATATTAACAAAAAAAGGTAGACAAGCATATTTAGGATATTTGGCTGAAGCTATTATTTTTTGAGAGAGGGAAAGCTGCATTGTTGATATCAACTTATAAATAAAAAAAATTGTTAGAGGTTGAAGTTACATACAAAAAATAATATACTAATTCTTTGAGTATCATTTTTAAACACTGTTTACTATTCAAATTTTTCATGAATTATAGAAATAGTGAAAGAAATGGCAAAACTAGATCGAGGCACCTCTAGCGGCGATGCCGGGTAACAGAATCGGGGCTACAAAGACAGCACCAGTGTTGTTCCACCCAGGCCTAGTACTATTCTACTAATCTAGTACCTTTTTACTTGTTCCAGTACCAAGATACCCAATACCATTTTCCTAGTACTATTCATGAAATCCTAATACTTTTCTTTTCAATTTAGCACCTTTCAAAACATTATTCTATATTTCTATATTTTATTTTACTTTACTTTGGCAGTAAATAGATGTTTTTATTGCTTCCTCATTCAAGTGCAGCAGTTGAACGTAATTTTTTGCAATTAAATTTAAAAACTAAACTACAAAATCGAGTTCTTACTGATTCCTGTGAAGCACTGTTATTAGCAAAGGAGCTACTTAAAAGCAACAACAATAAAATGTTACAGTTGGAAACCATCATCTGCTTCAACCATACAAAAACATTCTAGTGAGGAAGATTCTGATGATGATGATCTTACCAGTGATTTTTCAATGTGATAATTTTAAAGTTTAGTACTTCATGTTCATTACTTTTGTTTCATCATTTTGTTTTTGATTGTTGTTGAGGAATAACAGCATTCTTGCAATATACAAATTTATCCTGTATGAATTTTGTATGCTACACATAACACTATATATATTTTAATAAATATTTGATAAATTATAAATTTATATATTATTTATAAGTATATATGTCAAAGCAATGCCTGCATTAGTCAATACAGTCACTTCTCAACTTACAACACGGTTCGGTTCTGCAACTTCAGACGTAAGTTGAAATGGTCATACAACAAAATAGTTAGCCATCTTACACAAGCACACTTGCACTTGCAGGGTAACTAACTGCACAACAAAACTAAAGATGATGCAATCAATTGCCAGGAGCACGTAAGATATATATGTATATGATATATATTCAATTAAAACTATAAAAAAATTGATATTTTTAAAATTTTTTAACAAAATTTTTTCGTCGTAAGTGCAAATGGTTGTAACTCGAGAAGTGACTGTAGATCATTAGAACTGAGCAGTATTAATATTCTGATATTTATTATATTCTTAATTTTGTACAATTTAAAGGGTGGTGTGGAAGAAGTAAACTATATATCCATTGCATGCTAAATAATGAAATTTGTAACTAATCATATAAAGGAGCTTCAATAAGGACCATAGCAGTAGCTAATAGGATTGTATTAACAGGGAGAACTTTTTTCATTTCCTCAAAATACTAATTTTGCTTCTTACTCCTTTCTTCCACAAATCTCAAATTCAAATATCACATCATATGCCAATTAATATCTGTCAGATTAACAAAATAATAATAATAATAAAAAAGAATTACTAAACTTTACATTAAAGAACTAAATTTAAAATAGAGACAACTAAGGTTTTATAACAGATGTGCTGCATTCTAACCAATCTCCAATCATTATGTAATTAAATTGCAGCAAGCCATTTCTCTTTCCTCTCAGGATATTGTTTATTCAGAAATGAATAAAACTTTGTACCTGGTGGTGCAGTAATATAGGTAACACAACAACCGACCACACAACAGTTATTTTTTGACATTTTGTGTGGCAGAAAGCTGTTATTCATTATCACAGGAAGAAAACAAGCACGTCTCAGTACATATCCAATCCAAAGATGCATGTGTTTTCCCGAAGCAGTTTTCTTTGCCTGCGTACAGGTAGCGCTCAACTCAGTCCCAGTAGCTCTATAGAGGGTGCTGCATTTTTACAAAATGGCTACTTTATATGGGTCACTTGTAACCAGTGAACATAAAATTAATCATATATTACTGTCCAATATAATATTCTGTTGTAGTTGTTCATCGAGAAATTTTATAGGAGAACAATTATTGCTAGCGGGACAAGTTATTACACATATTGTAGAAATAAACCAAGTAAGATTGTTCTATACATTTGTGCTCAGTGTTAAAAAACATTAGCTTTAACATCTGTCCCATAGGGCTGTATTTACAAGTTAGCTATGTTACCTTTTTGATTTGGGACGAGTTCAAAGAGGCCTCAAAAATTTCTACAAAAAAAAAAAAAAAACTGAAGTCAAATTTTGTAATAAATTTTTTACAAACAATATATACTTTAAATATTACACAAAAAATAGTAATTAATATGTTTATGTTAATTCTTTTCATTTTATAATTGACTTCTAAAAATGTGAAGGTTGGTAAAGGAGTTCAGCTAGGGCCTCGAAATGCTTTATGTACGCAGTTAATTTTGTACCCTACTAAAAGATTGGTTGTATGAAGTGCCCATTGTTGTAAATAATCAAAAACACCCAAAAAGATGTGCCATTATCAATGTTTAGGAGCAAGAAATAATCCATTTGTAGAAATAAATAAGGTGCATAAAGTCAAAAAAAAAAAAAAAAATGGGTGCTGCTCATGCTCCAGTGCAAAACAAGCAGAATTTATGGGCATAAAGCCACAAAAGGTGAGAAACAATTGAGTTTATGGGTATAAGTATAGTTTAAAAAAAAGGGTCCTCTTGTACTCCACATCAAAACATAACGCAATTTACGAGTATAAAGGACATAAAGTCAAGAAAACAGATGCCAATTGTTAAGTGAGAAATATGGGTTTAAATGTAGGGTCAAAGGAGGTGTCTCTCGTGCTTCTAAAAAAAACATTAATATAAATTTTGTGTTGCAAAATTGATGGGGTTAATGGGCTTAAATGTAAGGTATAAGTCAAAAAGGGGGTGCTTCTTAAGCTGCAGAGAAATATAGAATTCAATTTATGGGCACAAATAAATGGCCTAGAAGTCAAACTAGAAACGGTGCCATCCAACTATGGAATGAGAAAACGTTATTTTTGGGCAGAAATTTATTCAAAATGAAGTCACACTCCGTGATGCCTGTTAATGTATAAAAATAGGGCACACTTTCACTATGATGAGTGATTAGTTTACCTCTCGTGGCTCTTTTCCTATGAGACAAAAGAGAAAGAGCAGCACTTCCCCATAATTTGAAAATGTAGCCACGTGCAAAGTGGCTTGACAGGACAAAAGCGGCATTGGCCAAATATTCCAGGACCATTATGATAAGCTTTGGGCCATTTCTCGTGCCTTATCGGGACTATTCATCGTCTAGTAATACTCACATATGACTCAACGCCATTACGTTGTGCAGAACTGTGCTGAAGAAGTTAAGCAAGATTAATGGCAAATATTTTCTGGTAATTGGAACGACTGGTGTCACTTTTATAAAGTAGAAGGGCAGACTCTTTTGACGAATGTTAAAGAATAATGATCATTTAGGAAGGGGATTCATAAAAGGATATATGCAGTGGCGATATTCAGCGGGTTCGCACAGGTTCGGCCAAACCTGTTGTTAACATTTTCAAAGTTTTCTGAACCTTGTTAAATACACGTAACACTTCTCAGTGGTTTTGTTTCTTTTAAAAAATATATTAAAATATACATATTATATTCTGTAACACTACTAAACTAGAGCCTTATACCACGTTCGCCTTGGTGTGACCACCCTCGACCGTTTCAATCTCGATTGAAACGAGGTTCAATTGTGATTAACTCAAGAGAGTTCTTGAAACTAAATCCAGTCATAAGAGAGATCCCACAATCCCACGCGCGCGAGAAAATACAAAATGGCTGGGGAACATGTGTCCTAATAAAATATATACAAAATGAATCATTTTGAACACTTTTTTATTATTTATAAAAAAAATATATAGCTCTGGCATAAACAATGTTAAATTTTAACTGACTTAATTTTATGAACACATCTTTTTTATTTATATGGGTATCTTAAGGTCAGTTTTTGCGCTAATGTTGCTAATGTATCATTTGAGTAAAAAAAAAAAATGTTAAGAAAAAATTTTCTGTTTGCAAACCCTTTGTTAAATATTTTGAATATCACCACTGGATATGTGATAAATCGTCCTATGATCTCACTCTTCTCATCCCCCCTAACCATAGCCTGTTAAAAGGCTCCAGATGCCGAATGTACAGTTAAATCTGGCTCAGAATCCCATACAAAATTACTGAAATTTTAATTAAACTTTAAGAAAAAAAATCCTTTAAAATTGACGGCATAACTTGTTCATATAAAGCTGAACAATCGGGAAACTTTTTTGCCAATTTTCAAGGTTTATCCGAAAACACTTTTGATCAATCCATTTACATCCACATTTATTCTTCCCAGTAAAGCATCCAGAATGTTCTTTGTCTTATTCAGAGTTCGTAATTACGGCAAATCTATACTTAATTCAGCATATTATCTGCTCAATAAGTGGGATTTGCCGTCCGAAGATTTCAGTCGGCTCGAAAGCATGGTTTTCTCGGGCACGAGGTCGAGCAAACAAAATGATTACGTCATCAACTCGAATTTAAGGATAAATCGTTAAATAAAAAGAAACTGCTCTTTTGTTATAAAAAATGAAGATAAATTTACAACTAAACTAAGTTAAAAGCGCTATATGCAAAATTTATGCCCTAAAAACATAAAAAGCCATTAAAACTAAAGCACTCTGGAATTTTATATGGCAGCATACTACAACGGTCAGTTTTACTTATTTTGTCAAATACAGTATACATTTCAATTATTATAAAATGATTAAATAATATCGTTAAAAATTCATTACCACAAATAGAATTAATAAGATAAAATAATAAAAACAAAATTTTCCATTGTTTAATCAAAACGAGACACCAACACAACTAACCTCAATGAAATCGCAGATAAAAATGGCATTCTCAAAGAGAGCACAGTGTTGCCAGATCTGAAGGTTAAAAAGTAGCGTGGTTGTGTTCCAAAAGTAGCGGATTTGAACTGTTTGTAGCCCAAACAATAAAAATGAATTATTTTGCAACTATGCAGTTTTACTAATGAAATAAGTTTGTAATACAGTAGAGCGTCGTTTATCCGAAGGTCGGTTATCCGAAAGAATTCCAGTCGACAAATTTAAATTTTCGCCAGTGCTGTGCAATGTTCCCTCTAATTTTTTTTGTCGATGAGCGGAACATATACTTCTCTGAGCAAAAAAAATTTTTGCTGAGCAGATTCCGAGCAAAAAAATTTTCTGAACATATATATATAAAATCTTATTTTTTTCTATAAAAATTAAAATAATTAAATATAAAGTAGAGATTAAAATTCATTTTAAAACATACTTTTATACAAAATATTATCTCTTGTCAATGATTTAATTTATTTAATTGAAATATACGTAGCAATAATCATGTTGCAGACAGAGTGAGAAAAAAGTAAACAACAATTCAAATCGGTTTACATGCTCGCCTGCGCGGCACATAAATTCTCGTGCGCAGCAACAATTTGAGCAATGCGCGGCCGCGCAGCCTAGAGGGAACATTGGTGCTGTGGCGTTGCAATCTTTGGCTATGTCTTGGGCTTACTCAAATATTTTACGTTTTTGATACTAAATTAACTTCTGAAGTATAATTTTTTATTGTTTTTATATTTTCAATAAATTTTTATTGTTCCTACAAAATGAAAAAATAACTTTTAACGATAGTCTTCGTTAGGCTTAACATCGACGAAAATTCAACGCGAAGCGACACGCAACGGAGAAAAATGTCAACACGGGATAAATTAATATATTTTTTCGTACATAATTGGTTATCCGAAAAATAAGTTATCCGAACGAACAACCCCAGTCCCCAATTGATTCGGATAAACGACGCTCTACTGTATATGTATATACGTACACAGGGTATATCAGAATGTCGTTTTAAAAATTTGGGGATTGTAGAGGATGAAATTTTGAACGTTTTTATATAAGGAACCTACAGCCGGAAATGAGATAAGTATAAAGTTTCTACAGCACTTTGCACGTTCTATGAGGTCGGTATGCTGAATGAAACAGCAGAATACAGTATTTATGACAAGTTTTATTGACAAAACAGTAGAGTACAATCAAACTGTACATCGAATCAGTGGCTGCACTACTTTAAGTTATTGTAGGGAGAATAGAAGTGAAGATTATAATGAAAATGATGAAAACATATGGTAACGGTAACATTAGATGTGTATTAGCTTGGTGTAATCCTGGAGATAGATGACGTTAAAAAAAATAGTCGTCGGATTCTATGTACAGAGTAAGTATATACAATACAATTTGAGGTTTCCATCACAATACAATACGTTTTGATGAGGTGCCGTAGTGGACAGCGTGGGGGTATTAAACGAGGTAACAAGTAACGACATTTTTATATAAACTGTTTCTTATTGTACACTAGACACTTTCAGATAAATTGTTTTTAGTTGGTCTGGAAATTATTATATCTTCCACATAATATGTTATTTCGGTGAGAAATTGATATTCGATGTACACCATCATTTTGTTTACGAAGCCTTTTAGGAACTTAAGTGTGATATATATTGAGGACGTTCAGTATTCAATAATAACGGATGAAATTTGATCTAATAATCTAGTGTCTTAGATATGAAGTTACGATAGTGACTTCCCGACAAGTAAAAAAGTCACCGACTCACTACATATACAGGAATCAGAATTGCCGATTTTCGGAGGTCGATTTCTTCGCTTTTAAACACCTATAGTAATTTCGAATATCTCGTCTCGTTCGAAGGTAAATTATTTTCTTAGGTAGTGTGCGAAATTTCAAGATTTGTATAAAGCGGTCGCTGAAATATAAGCAATCGAAAAGTGCAAAAATCTTTTAAAAAAACTGTATTTTCTTCTCATTTTTTCCTCCGGTACTGCAGACGCACTACTGGATCTAGAAAGCTCAAATTTTAAAATTGAGCTATTCGCGTTATTAATGAAACTTCCGGGTCGATAAATCAAAGTTCACGGGGGTTTCATTAGCCGTAAAACTGAATTAGCTCTGATTAGAGTTAATTCAGTTTTACGGCTTAATTTTGTTTAGTTACGGCAATGCAACACTTGAGCGATCTGCCTAAGGGGATGCCTTCTGGTGGCCAAGCAGTCTTCGTACCCTGAACACTGGGAGTTTGGTCGTGGGTTCGCGCCTCGTTCGGACGGGCTGGCTACGTGGAGTTTTCCGGGTTTTCTTTACGCCTGTAACGCCTAAATAGGGACTAGTTTCCCTTAAAAAGACCTCCCCGAAGGCATTCTAGACAGAACGCCCGAGTGTAACATTGCCATAACTTAACAAACTAAACTGTACTATTATAGGCCTAAAGTAACATATAAATGACAATCGATATTCATATCGTCTTTATCCCGAACAGTTTGTAGATAGATATCTATCCTTCCAAATGTTTCAGCACAGGCAGTTCTATCACACGCTGTGGTAGTCATATACCACAAGGCCCTCTGTTCGATCTATAAAGGAGATAGCCCGATGTATTAAGCACAGAATTCTAAGGAGTGAAAAAGTTGTAGGATTTTAGAAAACCCCTACAATTTGCTCACTGATAAAAGAAATGAAAAGGACGCCATTGAGAGAAAATAGTGCCTCGGCCGAAACAACTTGGAAGAAGAAATCAATCACTATTTTCAAGTTCTACATGAATTCCTTTATTGAAAATCGTCGTTGGCAAGGCTCTCGCCACAAACCTGTAGTAATAACTCCTCAATATCCTCATTTACATCTCCTAATCTTGCTGTATTGATTAGGTTGACAATTTGGTCAACGATAGATTCTTCTCGTGAGAACCCTTGGATACCTTCAGCCATAACTTCTTCCACACTTCGTTCATGATCCGAAAAATCACAAGAATTCAGGTAGACTATCTTACAGCCTTTAGGTCAGGAACGTCCTTTATTGAAGATGCAAGTTATATATGCATTTCGGGCTTATTTTATCTTTAAGCACCTCTTCAGTGCTATACTAAAAAAATTTAGAACAATCAGTAATGTAACAATATAACGCGTGTAGATTATATCCTTTGACATAATTCCATGTAGCTGAAACCCGACGTCAACACAATAATAATAATTTTATCAATAAATTTGTACTTAATTATTTAATTTTGGATGTTTTTCCACAATTAGGTTATAGAATGCAGTATTTTATCAATATAAAAAAGAGAAAGAAGAGTGCCATGGTCGAAGATCCAGGAAAGGGAAAGTGTCCCGTACACACACAAGGGAGTAGATGGAAAAATCGATCATCATTCGCATATATAATTTGGTTTGGTTTTATTCGTTTACGGCAACGCGACACACAGACGATCTGCCAAGGGGGAATGCCACCCAGAAAATTTTTTATGGGAAACTGGACTCTATTTAGATGTAACAAACGTGAAGAAAACCCGAAAAACTCCACGTCCAAGGCTATATCTCGGGTCTCAGACAAGCTCTGAACGGCCCTGGATAAAGATCCAGAATGGTATCTTATCTTGTTTACTGATTGAAGTTTTTCGTAACTACAGTTTAGCTTAAAGAATAGAACATTTTAACGTAATAAGTTACTCATGAAATAAGTGATTTATTTGCAAATAGTTACGAAAAGTAAACTAGTAAGAAGTAAGTCTCAGTAAACGAGATAAGAATAAAACTTATTCACCATTCAAGATTTTTAGACGGGTCTTCGAGAGCTTTAGGCCTATTATTATTTATATACCGGAGTTTCATTTTTCCATTTACATATATATATAAACATAGAGAGGGGGACTAAAAGTTTAGTCCCCCTCTCTATGTCCACATATAAAGTTCCCTTAATATCTACAGAGCAAAAACAATTAAAAAATCTTGAATCAGAATTTATCAATCGTTTTAAATCGATCATGAAAAACCTGTGAAAATTGAAAATGAATTTAATACTGTAATTCATGCAATACACCAACTGTAGACTATAGATGGGCCAATAATTATGAGGTAAGTTTACTTACATTCCCAGTGTAATTCGTCAATTATATTCTACCTAAGATGGTGTTTCTTGATCTATCAATTTTTTCTTACCACAGGATTTTGAACTAATTTCAAATTACCAGTAAATGATTGTAAAATAATAGAAAAATTTTATTGTGTAATATCAAATTTGCTTTCTAATCAGTAGTAATTTAATGAATGAGCATAGAAATTTTATCAGTTTTTGTACACTTATTTTCTGGATCATATGCACAGATATTAGAATAGATCTTAATTAATGTAATAATTATATAGGAAGTAAATTAAGCTTTCAAAAAAGTAAACATAAAAATACTTTCCGAAGACTAAACTACATCTGATGATAAAATAGTTAAATATTGTCCAAGATATTACCGAACAAGTTATTGAATGCTATAGCTGTAGAAATTAAAGTAATGAAAAATGAAATCTAACTCCAGTTTACATAAATATTTTGTACCGTCAAGTTACTTTATAAGTGTCAATTTTATCAGAAATATTTTGATTCAAGTTAATATTTTTATTTATTACTTAAACAGATATAATATTTACCATATAATTTATTAAATAAAATCACTAAATAATTTAAAATTTTAAGATTTGGAACTTTGTCACTTAAATAAAGTTTATTTTAAGAAAACTTTTACATATTATCAACAACTAATTTCTTGATAAGTTATAAATTCATTTATTTTAAAATATATTGTCAGTAAAAAGTGAATTATTCGAATATTCAAAACATATATTAAGTATTTATATTTTTTAAAATCCATTGGATGAACTGTACAATAAATGAAAATATTCTTAATGAATATTAAAAAAATAGGGAAATGATTACATCATAAATGTGTATAGTCGCAACTTCCCTTCGTTTTCAATTAAATATAACATATCTGAAACAG